TTATCCAAAATACCCTTGATCTCTTTGTTTGTATCCTCTTGCTTATTCAGTCTGGCATGGATTAAGGCATTCTCCTTCTTTAACTCTTCCAGAGTTTGCATGACTAGTGACGAAGCTGGTGTATCTACAGGGGTTGCATGTCGTTCAGAACATTCTGCAGCCTCTTCTGATTGAACTACTTCTTCTGTTGCAATCATGTTTTCTAGAGCAGTAGTCAGAGGGTGACTATCAGAATTTGGTTCAGTGACTTCTGAAGGATGATTCTCTTTCCAGGGAGCATTATCCAGTGGAAGAATTTCTTTCTTGTACCATTGGCTCAGAACTTGATCTTGGAAGGCTTTCAGCTGATCACTAAAGTTCTGCTGATCTATTTCATAGCCCAATTCTTTCAGCTTCTGGGTTTTAGAGTTGAGCCATTTTCTGAATCTTTCCCACAAAGAATCAGAAGCAGCAGGATTAGAAATCTCTTGACTTGCTTGCTTCAAGGAAGTAATCCATTCCTGCATTTCTGTTTCAAAAATCAACAGATTCTTACCAATATTTGATTTGGTTGAGGTTGGTTTAGGTTTGGGAGTGGCAATTTTGTTTGAGGTGGAAGCTAGTTGGTCCAACACTTGTGGATCAATGACAAGTCTGAGGTTGTCAGCTAGACGGTTGATGGGTGATGGAGTGGAAGTGTCAGAAATCAGGATTGGTGAGTTAGGGGTGTTTGGTGGTGTAGATTCATATGGTGAAGGGATTTCTAGAATATCATGAATAATGAGAGGTAAGCGAACCGTAAGAGGTTCTGTTATTCCAGGGATTGGGATAGAGGTATCAGAATCTGAAGAGGATTCTTCAGATTGGTTTGCGGTAGCGTGTTGAATTTCTGGTTCAGGAATTTCAGAAGATGGTTTTTCAAAAGAAGGAGTGAGAGAGTTTCCATTCTCTGGTTGAGGTGAGTTGAGGTTCAGATGTTCTGGTTGAGGAGAGTGTGGTTGTGAATTTTCTGGTTGAGGAGAGTGTGGTTGTGGATTTTCTGGTTGAGGAGAGTGTGGTTGTGGATTTTCTGGTTGTTGAGGTTGAGTGTTTGGATTTTTTGGGAGTGGTGAGGAAAAGTCTTGATCAAACAGTTCAATATCAAATAGAACTTTAGCAAGTTCTAGTTGATGTTGTTCTGGATTTGGATTTGGATTGGGGGAGTGAGGTACATTCAAGAAGTTTCTAAGAGTTACAGATGGATCAAACTCTATGTCAAAATCCTCAAATGTTTGGGGTGAAGGATTTTCTATTGGTTGAGGGGGAATGGTTTCAGATGTTGGAATAACTATTGACTCTACAACAGAAATAGAAGATGGATTACCTTTCTTTTTCACAGCTTTAGGTGTCCTCTGAGAGGATCCTTCTCCTGCTGCCTTCCTCTTTTTAGATTTCTTTAGCACAACCTCTGGAGCTGGCTTGTGCAGATCTTGGATGTTGATTTCTGGAATAGTCCCATCAGCCTTGCAAGCCTTAAGGTATCTGACTATGATTTCTGGAGAGGCATCTATCTCAGAAAATAGTGGAAAATCCTTCAGAGGGATTCTCCTAGAAGTGATAGCCTCATGAGGAGCAATTGTTGGTTCCTTCTTAATGTTCTGAATAATCTTCATTTTCTTCAGATTCTTGGCATTCAAGGGTTTCCCAGCGGTTGCTTCCAGAGTACTGATTTCTTGAGCCTCTGTCAGATGTTCTATCATCCTGTTTTCAGTTAGAATATCTGAAATCAATCTTCCAAGAGGAATCCAATCCCTCGTAGTTCTTTCTTCTTCTCTTGTCTCTTTCACACTTGTTCTGAGATGGTTGAAGAGCAAGTGTGGAAGGTTTATCTTGGTCTTCTTTGCAATGAAGTAAATCAGAAACTGCTGATCAATATTGATGTAATCAGGAGAGCTTGTAGGCTTCCTGTGATTGATGTATCCCAGAATTATTCTGGCCCAGATTCTGTGATGATCCTTTAAGTCTCTGATCTTGCTGGATGGCTGCCAAGAAGTAAAGATTTCCCTAGCAATAGATTTTAGGTCATAACACCTATCAGCCATATCAATTCACCTGACTCCACCGCCATTATATCCAATGAGTTTCCCAATCAAATCTTCTGTTATCACCATCTTCTTACCCATAACATATGATGTGACCCGGTGGTTGGATGAGGTAGCATGAATCCAGAACTCTTTAACAAGAATGGGAAAAGTTGGACCCAACAGACAATCAAAGTATCTGTTCCATCCCTATGCAGTTACATCTTCATACAAATTAAACCCATTTTCTTGTAAGCTTTCAAAATCAATGATCAATTCAGAGAGAACTTCAAGGTTGTCAACCGAAGTGAGTAGCGTTCTAATGGGTTCTTCATATTGTTTCGTTGATGAAGATTCAGGAGCACTGAGATTCTTGAGACTTGATGATGATGCCATTGTTCACACGGATTCTTTGAAGAAAAATAATGGAAAGGGTTTTTGAAAAAGACTATAACAAGAGAGAATATATAAGAGGGTAAAATGTGAACGAATGAAATAGTAAATTGAGTTTCTATAGGTTTTTAGAAAGCGTAATCAGTAAGAAAGAAAATAAGTAATGATTATATGCATTAATGAAACCTGAAATTAGGGGATTTAGAGAGATATTGAACAGTTACCAGTGACAAGTGTCTCAATGCATCAAATCAGAGCCTTGGACCCTTCAGAATTTGAACGCGTGTTCAGCCTCAGAAGGTATCTTATGAGAGGATGACAGATGTTTGATGATGTGAACTGCACGCCTCTATCCTTGAAATGAAACATTCAGATCTTCATAGATAGATTCTGAGGCAACTGTACTTCTAACTTCTGAAGACAAGTTGATCAGATGTTCATAGAAAAACAATAAAGTTTTGAGGGTTAGGATATGCAAATAAAACATTTTATTCTGGGCATAACTTCATGCTGAGATGTTTCAGAATTAAATTGAATCTATCTTCAGAAAGGGGTTTTGTAAATACATCAGCCCATTGATGGTTTGTGTCAATAAATTTTAAAGTAAGAATTCCTTTCTGAATATAGTCCCTAATAAAGTGATGTTTTATTTCTATATGCTTAGCCCTGAAATGCAAAATGGGATTTCTACTGAGACATATGGCAGAAGTGTTATCATAGAAGATAGGAATGTTACTCTCAAATATGTTGAAGTCTTCAAGTTGAGTTTTCATCCAGAGCATTTGAGTGCTACATCCAGCAGCTGCTATGTATTCAGCTTCTGCTGTTGACAATGCTATTGTGGACTGTCTCTTGCTGGTCCATGAGATCAGATTGTCTCCTAGAAAGTGGCAGCTTCCAGAAGTGCTTTTACGCTCTACTCTGTCTCCAGCAAAGTCAGCATCACAGTATCCTACTAAGTTGTATTCATTGGATTTTCTATAAAACAAACCCATATTAGTAGTACCTTTCAGATACTTGAAAATTCGCTTAACTGCTGTTAAGTGAGATTCTCTAGGATCTGATTGGAATCTAGCACATAAGTGTTGTACCCCAATTTTTGACCTACGATCCCATCTTCATTTGCATTTTTATTCAAAGAAATTAAGGGCACGAAATATGGCCAGTTTTAACCTCTCAAACTTCTCCACAACTTTCTCAGAGCACATACAAGATTCCATCATCACTAGTTCACGTATGCTTCAATGTGTCTTGGAATGCAAGAAAAGATCAGGCTATGTGAGATGATTTAAAGCACTTTGACCAAATTTCAACTTTTTGCAAGATCAAATTCAAACGATCCTAACTTCTTCATTACTCCATATTTTTGAGTGGTTCTTTTTGCGTATGACTCTCCTTGATGTCATCTCCCACTCCTCTTTACAAGTCAAGAGTTGATTGTATGTGGAGGATCATCTAAAATTCGAATACTTTGGTGGTCTTTTTGCAAATTTAACCTAATCACAAGAAACTCTTGTCCAGATTTCGAGGTTCATAACTTCTTCAATTCTCAACGTCCCGAGGCAATTCTTTTTGTGAAGTGTCAAAAATAGCATTGTCTATGAGATTACTTCAAAGGTCGAGGTCAATTGGTGTTTGGTTCAATTTATGCCACAAACGTTTTCTCAAAGGACATTTGATTCTTATGTTAAGATAATTCATCAAATAAGTTGTTGAGTTTGAAGATTCATTGATCATCTATTGCTCGTAATTCAAGTCACTTGTGTTTGAGCGTTAATGATTAATGGAGCGAAGTTGGACTTTGACTAAATTTCTTAAGGCATTTGTTTGTTCATTAAAATTCGATTCATTAAAGTTTTAACATTTACCTTTCTTTCAATTCATACAAATTCCTTTTGATTTAAGGTCATTATGCCAAGATTCAAACATTCATTATTTTAAGTTGCACACCATTTAACTTTCAAGACAATGTTCAAAATTCAAATGTCAAGTTCAAATGCCATTCAAAGTTGCAAATATTTTTCAAGAGAGTTTCGAATACAAGGGACAAAAGTTTTATCCAATTTATAATGCTTACAATTTGGAATTATGGAAATTTTGAATTCAAATATAATAAGTTACAAATATCATTCAACATTATTCACCATTTCAAGTCATTCAAACTTATCAAAAGTACATTCAAGATTCATATAAGTTTTGCTCATGATTCAAATTCATTCTTAGTCCATTTAGATTCCATTCAATTTTATTCTTTCTAATGGAAAATTAGAAGATTCATGGTTCACTTGCCACATAAATGACAACTCTATAAAGACATTCATACCATTTCAAATTCATTACCTAAATTGTCTGATCAAGACAAGTTCATTCAAAGGTTCAAGATTTCCATTTTCAAGATCACTGAACAATGTTAAAGCCATCAAAATTTCATCAAAGATACATTCATGACAAGAGTTATTCATCCATAAGTTAGGAAATTTACAAGGATCACTCATCACTTCAAGATATTACAAGAAGATTACACAAGAGTTTACATATATTCCTAAGTCCTAATCCTATCCATTGTCCATGATTAAACCTAAACATTTTTCTAATCTTCATGCCAAGTTTCCAAGTTTACCTAAATCTTCATGCTCCAAGTCTTGTAACTTTAAAGCTTGCAAACGAAAACTTGCCAAATCCTTGCTAAAACCTGCCCAAACCACTCAAAAATCATCCATGCTGTATGCTGCTCCAAACTCTGCATATCAGTCCAAAAACAAGTCAAAAATTCTGCACAAATAATGCCAAAAAAACTGCTGTTGTATGCTGCTCCAAACCTTGCATATCAGTCCAAGAAATAACAACAAAAATAGCCATACAAATACCTGCACTAAAAAGCAATAAAACAGTTATCACAAAACCAACTTTCACAACCATTTTCCCCCCAAAATTCGTTTTTCTTTCTTTCTTTCCTGGCTATAAAACTCAGCCTGTGAAAACCAGAAGAAAACTCTTACCCGAGCACCCATCACCTCCTCAACAAACCAGCTCCTTACTAACTTGCAGAAGATTATAATTTATAAACTTGCAAAACCATCATCATCAATCAGAAACTACTACAAATCCTAAAAAACAACTTCCTCAACCTTCACCAACATATAATTCCAACAACAAGGTTAATAGTATCAATCCCAGTTCAGACTTCCGCACATTATTTATAGGAGTGAGATTCGGGAGATACAGAGGGAGAAAGATTATTACCTGATTTTGTATTCAACTTTTTTCCTTTCTTCTTTCCGCTTCATCATCAGGCTTCGACTTCAAATCTTTGTTTGCAGGTTAGTCATATTTCCTCTTTTCATCGTCTTCTTGATATCGTGAGAAGGCTTAGCTTGTTGTGTGTTATATTGTTGCTAATGCTGTTGTTCAAAACTGGGAACCGTATCTTTGTTGTTGCTCTTTAATGTGGCGAATTTTATGAACTATAAGAATAGTCAGACCTGAAACCGAAGAAACAGAGTTATGCAAAATAAGAAAAATAGCAGTTACTGATTTTCACGCGAGGAGGTTTAATTCTATGGTCATGCAAAGAATTAGGTAACGCTCTGAAGGGTTCACCGTTTGATACCTTGAATAGATCGTGTCTTCTCGAGGAGCAATCAGATGCGGCTTCATACAACTACGATGCACCTGGAGCTTCCTATTCGCTGAAATGGATCTTCCACAACGATCTTTGTTTTAAGCGTGAATACTCTCAGGTTTGTGATCCGACGCGGACGGTGTATCGTGATTTTGATGAGGTTTTTTTAAGCAGCTGGAGATCGAAGCTAAGGCAAGGGCGGAGGAGTTGAAGGAATCGAATTCGAATCTGGTGGTTGTGAAGGGGAATCGGAAGAATCAGGTTACATGGAAGGGAGATGGGTTTGAAGGGAAGAGAAATGGAACCGGTAATGGTGGTGATGGTAAAGATATTGATAATTGGAATAATGGAGCTTTTGATGTATATAAACTCCAGAAGAAGGTTAGGAACAAAGGTGGGAAAGGAAAGGAAATAGATACCGACATAACTAAGCTTGAGCCTAAGAAATTGGAAAATAAATAAAAAAGGCAAAAGATACAATTTTGTTTTATCGAAAAATGGAAGAAATATATTTAATTGCTTATTGAAAATAACAAAATATTTCCTCTTCCGAATTCATAGCCGCCGCCGGCGCCTTCCCTTGTTACATTAGGGTTACCAATTTTTTCTCCTTGTTTCTTTCTAACCGGGTCAAATATACTATTTTTTCTCCATATTTTTTTGTTAGTTTAATTTTTAATATAAAACAAAAGATATCAGGTTATAAATAAAGGGTGGTTCCACATCCCACGTGCCTCCACCCTATTTTTATTTCATTTTATTTTCAAATTTCTATTTTTTGTTCCTACTCTTTTATGTTATGTTATCATTTATCTTTTTTTTATATATAAGATTCATTATCTTTGTCTAATGCCTCATACTAATAATTAACTTTTTATTTAATATTTTCTATGCAACTAACCAGCTTAATTTCTTATGATTTAATTTTATTCTAGTTATTTTATATTTTTTATGATATTTATTATTATTATTATTAAACTATACAAAAATACAAAAAGTATTAGAATATGCGTATATTTAATTTTTTTCTTCGCCTCATAAAAAATACCATACAAATATATTAGTTTAATTTTGTCTTTCATTTATTTTTATTGTTAATTATTTAATTATTTAAATTGTTATTTTCCATTTTCGATCATTTAGTCTTTATATTTTGTTTGTCTAATTCCAAGGAAAATATTTTAACTTTCTTGACTTCATGTCATCAAATATCTAATACGATCAAGCGAATACCCTCATTCATTTTTTTCTTCCTATTTACTATTTTTTTCCAAAATTAAGTCGATTTTCCTAAAAGATTCAAATTTCAAACTCACACCTTTTAAGTCAAAACTTCGACACTAGGTCGTCGTATCTTCAAATATCTCGTCCCTACTCATCTTTTAGCCAAACGAATCCTTTTAATCAAACAAACAATTTTAAACCAAAAACAGATATTTCAAAAGGTTCCTGCGGAGTACCGCAGATGCATTGGGTGCTAATACCTTCCCATTGTATAACCAACCCCCGAACTCTCGATCTCTTTTCAAAACGCATTATATTTTCATTACTTTTAAGTATTATTATACATTGCATATTTTAGGGTTTTATTTCTCTCTTTTCCCTTTTCCCTTGGAAACAATAAAGCGCGGTGGCGACTCTTGCTTTTTGTGAGTCAAGTTAATTAATAGCTTGATCTCCGATTTTCACCGCTACAGAATTGGCGACTCTGCTGGGGAAAGATTGACCTCTTACTGGTCCATCCCTAAGTGGGTTAAGCCTAATTTGTTTTATCTGTTTTATCATTATTTGATTGTTTGATTATATGTATATATTATGATTATTTGGGTGTTGATAATATTTACAAAGGACAAGTCCTATACCCGGACTAAGTTACATTTAGGAATAGGACGGGCGGTATAGTCATGTTAACTTTGAGGGAGTAATCCCGAAGAAGGAGACATGAGATCCCCCACTCAGTGGAAGGCCCTTTTGAACGTAATATTTGTTTACCGAGTAATCAGGAAGACATTATTATTTTCGACCTGGGAGCCAGAGAAGCTGGGAACCGTAGAACCCTAACCCATCTTGGCCTTTTAGGTGTAGCGCGGAGATTATAACAGAGTAATCCGGAAGTAATTGTTACGCGATGCTACGCTCAGATGAGTTTCTCTTGAGAATATTACTGGTTATTGAGTAATCAAGACGTTGGTAATATCCGAAGGAGGAATGTAGACTTCGGGAACTCTTAGAACCTTGTTCTACAGGTGTGATTAAACTGTTAGTACATACCTTGGGGATGTTCTTTACCCTTGACTTCATGCTCGTGACGTTGAACCTTTCAACTTTATTTGTGACCTTGCTTGTGGTTGTTGCATAGCCATGCATTCATACATCCATAAAACCCTTTTCACTTGGCTTTGAAGGAATTTGGAGGTCTTTCTTTGTAAACATCACAAGTTTCGTCAAGCTCAATAGATCTTGGGTGTTGATAGGGCGAAAACCCTAATCCACCAAAATGGATGATTGATCTTGATGATAACTTGATCAATGTTTGGAGCCAATTTAAAATTCATCTTCTATCATCATACTTTGATGTTTACAACTTAATATCTTGAGTTCCTTGAAAATCAAATAAAAACTCTCTTTTGCATATCATACATCATTCTACATTTTTTTGTTTCACTTTCAAAGGTCTTTTTCCGAGTCTTATTTTTCCTTTGGTCTCACCAGTACAACACTCGCGCTAAGAGAACAATGGAGAATATCAAGCAAGAGGTTTCTGAACTCCGTAGAGAGATGACTATTTTGAAAGCTAGTATGGAGCGCTTAACTGGTTTGGTTGAAATTCTGGTTGCCGCCCAAGTCAATCCTTCTAGGAGGGACGAAGCGATGATAAAAGTCTTCACTGAAACTCTAAAATCATTCTCTCATGAGAAGGTGATGGTTAATGCACCTAATGACTTTCCTGACAAGGTGAATGTGGGAGTGCGTCTAGAAGAAGATGTTGGGAAGGGATGTTCATATGAAGATGGTAGCTCAGCTAATGGTGTGAAGAAGTTTGATAATAACTTTTCCAAGAAGAGAACCATAGGAAGAAATATTCATCATCAAAATCATCACATTCCTCCTATTCATCAACAGAAGCAGCAAGTTCCTAATCAAAGGAAAACCCAGTTTGATCCAATTCCAATTACCTATACAGAGTTGTTCCCTATCCTGATGCAGAGGAATTTGGTTCAGACCCGACCTCCACCGAAGGTTCCTGAGAAGATACATTAGTACTACAAAGCTGATTTGGCTTGTAATTTTCATCAAGGTGCTCCTGGGCATGACTTGGAGGGTTGTTTTGCTTTGAAGATTGAGGTTCAGAAGTTGGTCAGAAGTGGTATCTTGTCATTCAAGGACGTTGGTTTTGAAGTTCAAATCAAGCATGTGCCGAAGAGTAAACACGATTGATGGTGATTTTGATTTTTGAAGGATGTTTTCGGTAATTCAAGTCCAGATGGAAAGCCTTCCTAGATTATTAACTTATTCATGCTTTTTGTAATTTTTCTTGTTTATCAAAACATTGTTTGCATATAAGAACTTGTTTGCATCTGAATGATTATCTTAATACAATGAGTATGTTTGTCTTGAAGAAATTCATTCGTTTCACTCATATTTGTTTTCAAATTTTAAATTGCTTTTGCACTATGATACCAAATTGTTGCTCATTCTCTTGCCTAGGCAGAGATTGAGGGGAGGATGATGATCTAAAGAACACAAAATCTCTGGTTGCATGCTTTTGGATAAAATCTTGCTGATGATGTACAGGCATTGTTTCAAATCCCTAAACACTGGAGATATAAGGAAGATAATCCCTTGCTAACCCCTTTTTGAGCCTTTGAAGCAAAAGTTTCTTTTCTATACAAAAAAACCTTGAATTTTAACCTGGGGCAGGGTAGTTTTTAGTTAATCTGACTGAGTGTTCAAAATTCATAAGGAAGATGTTTTTTGAAGAGAAACTACGAGGGCTATCCTTCATGTATAATGAATCTAGAGGATGTGGAACCACAATGTTATCCCTCATTCATCAAGAAACGAGGCAATCACAATCCTCTCAACAAGCAAAGACAAGCTAATGTCACACATTTTGTTCAAAAAGTCAAAAATCGAGAAAAAGAAAAAGCCTGCTAAGTCAAAAAACATGAAAATGTGTGACTTAGGCAAAATTAAGGCATCCCGCTGGACTGTCAATTCAAAAGAATTAGTTCAGGCAAAAGTTAGGGAAAATAAAAATTGCAAAGAAAAGGACTGCAAAGAAAAGTCCTCAGCAAAGAACAAATTGGTGACTACAAACACGAAGACATAAGGGTGGTTTCTACTCCGAAAACCTCGTCGTTTCCTTAATCGTCACAAAATCCTTTCGAGAGATGAACACTCATGTTGAATTAACTGAACATAGGATTGGAGAACATCATGAAGGGTGTGGGCACCAAATATTTTGAGCCTTAAAATCTTTTTTTCTAAAAACCATGAACCAGACCACGTTACAACCTTCAAAAGTCCTAATTGAAGCAAGGTTATTTTGAAAGCATACTTCAATGAGATAGTGTTCCTGACTCCCATGAATGTTCTAAATAGTTATGTTGGTATCATATGTTTTTCCTATACAGAAATAAATGGTGCCTTAACTCGCAAATTTGTGCGATATCTTTCAAAATCTTCAAGACTTACATAACTGTTGCATTAGAATTTTCATTCTCATAATAAAATTTTCTAACTGCAAAACATTTGTTTGATATCAAGGAAACTCACATATAAGCACTAGTGATGAGTCTATTCTTAAGGCCTGAAACTATGTTGAGTAATTGGCGAATCATTTCAAAAAAAAAATCATATCCAGGGGCATGTCACCTGAAGACCGTAAGCACGAACATGTTGCTTCTCCCAGTTAATACTTTCCCAACTTGTTTACCCTTTATTGGGGCAAAAGTTGAAGACTTTGTTGTGCCAACTACAGTCAATTCGGGGCAATCACGTCGAGATTTATTAAATCTCTCTAAGAGTTTGAAGACACCAGAGCATGGTGAATGCCAGGTCTTTTGTAAAAACCTCTTGAGACGATTTCCCCCATCAACCATATAGCTTGGGGCATTTTAGAAGTGAAGTTATTCGCAGGAATCGTCACGCAGCTTATCAGCAGTAAACTTGGGGCATCCAAAATTAGTCCCAGGGGCAATCCAGATTTGTTAAGATATGAGATATGTTTTTCATACATTATCAGAGGGTGGTGTTCCCAATATCTCCAGCTAAGCAAGACTTCTTTCCAGCTGAAACTTTGTTTGTGTTGTTCCAATGGATTGTTCGCAATAGAAGACTGGACTTTGGGTTTTCTACCTGAAAATATCTTCCTCTCCAGAGATATTTAAGCCTTGTAAAAGGACCTTGCTCCAATGATGGCATGTGTTTTATCTCCAGTAATGTTCCCATCCTGTTGA